CACAGATATAATTTCCAAATTTCGTCATAGGTGAGATTTGAACCTTAGACCTGCCACTTGGAGGATGACAACCCAACTACTACACTAGGATCACCATCCTTCACAAATAGTTTTCTTTAATGAAGTTTTAAACATTCTTTTAAAGAACAATTTTTTGGAGCTAGAGTTCCATTTTACTTTTTTTTTAACTTAGCAATATTAACAGTAATATTATCTCCAGAATCAGAAGAATCTTCTGAACTTGTATTAGAGTCAAAGCTATTATTAAAAGAAGCATTAAATGAAGTATCTGAATCTGAATCTGAATCTACAATAATGAGATTAACCTTACTCTTTTTAGACTTTTTGCTTTTTTTTTCTTCTTTTAAGATCAGCATTATAACTTCATAGCTTTTTTTATAGCTTTATTTACAACTGTATTTATTGATAATTCACCAATAATTAGCTAATTCTTCATCAAAGTCAACTTTATTCTTTTTTATTACTGGTTTTAGGGATAAATCAGGCTTTGAAATAGGAATAAATTCTGAAACTTTTTTAGTAATCTATTGTAAAAATCTATCAATATTTGTATCTCATATAGTCAGGTACATTCCTGGAAGTTGTGGTCTATAATAAGCTTTAGATAGCTATGTTGGTTATATTTTTTAAGAAACTAATTATGAAGAAATAAGTTGAGTTTGTGCAAGAGCTATTATAGATTTTATCAAGTTTCTAACTTTAGTTTCAGTCATATCTGAGTAATTATTCTTTCTATAAGCTTTTTTTAAAGAGATTGAATCTGAGTTTGAATACAAGTAAGCTTTAGATAATTGTTCTATTATAAATCTTTCAATTTTTTCAAGTTTCAGAAATAATTCATCTATAGGTTTTTTTGATTTCTGTGTTGAACTTTTATTTGATTGGCAGACAAAAGCTCATAATGAAATTGCAATTAAATTTGTCCTTTATCAATACTAGTAAGTCTAGCTAATTTATTAACTGAATTACTTTCTTGAATAGTTGAACCAAAAAGTACTTGCTGTTTCTCTGCAGTAACTGTAGAATAATTGGTCTTAAACTAATATAATATTTGTCTAAGTCAAATTTTAGACACAACTATAGTATTATTTGCATTAGCATTTGATGTATTGGATAAATAATCTGTTGGTCTTCTATCAGCATAAGACCAATCATTATCAAATACTGTATAAGCTAGAATTACAACATTACCAGCTTGTTCATTTGCATAATTTAAAACTTGTGCACCAAGTTATGCTCCTATTTGTCCTTAAACCAGAGCTAAAGTGTCCTGTTCAGTATTATCTAGTAAATTTCTTAATTCTCAGTTTTTTTTTTTGATAATTCTTTTATACTAATTTTTAGTATCACCTTTAAGATGTGTTTCAAAAAAACCATATGCTCGAATTTTATCTGCTATCTACTAGCTACATTGATTTTAGCAAACACAAGATATAAATGAAAATCATTAATAAGTTTTTTTAAACCTTCATCAGAATATTTATAAAAATTTTGAGCTTCATATTCTGCCATATCTGTTTGATTGTTATTTATATATTAATTATTCTGTAGTACAAAAATTTGTTAATTTGAGGGTGTGGGTCCCATAGCTTAGAGGTTAAGCTTCCATGCCCCCACAGTCAAGGTCAACGGTTCAAGTCTGGCTGGAGGCAAAATTAAAAGATTTTAGCCTCTGTAACCCA